TTCTTTTTTTTTTTGGTTTTTCGAGACAGGGTTTCTCTGTGTATCCCTGGGTGTCCTGGAACTCACTCTGTAGACCAGGCTAGCCTCGAACTCAGAAATCCACCTGCCTCTGCCTCCCAAGTGCTGGGATTAAAGGCGTGCGCCACCACCGCCCGGCTCAAACTATTTTTCTATGTCTATAGTCAAGCTGCTTTTTTTTTTTTTATATCATTAGTTTTTTTACAATTTTTTCTAGTATAAGAGTTCAAGAGTTTAATCCAATTTTCAGATCATATCTCTTAAACTTTCTTCATTCTGTTAAAGGGATGAATTAAATATCCTTATTTTTTAAGTAGCTGGTGCCTTACTATAAAGAAAGGAGCAGCAAATCCAGATCCAAAGTACACGGTCATCATAGCCAGTAATCGCCATTTGTTTTCCACCGAAAATGGCAAATTCTTCCCCGGACCCTCCTCGTAGTGGCTGCGACGGACCACGGAGGTGGTGAACCTCCGGATACTCTGGCCCAACATGCCGCTGCTGGAAGTTCTGCAAAGGACGCAGAGACGGAAGGCGGAAGAAATGGCCGTACTACCTCACTCCCCTTTCTTCACGACCTTCGTCAAGCTGCTTTTATGTCAGCAATCTAGGATGGCTGGCAGCCATGAAGCAAAAGGAGTTACAGCTAAGCCAGCAGCTTCATCAACGACCATGTGTCCTATAGCCTGGGATTCATGTTTGAGGATTTGTAGATAGAAGCAATGGGTTTGGACTGGGTCTTCTCCCACCATCTCATTGATATAGGTATGGTTTAAATTTCTGGCTATTTTAACACTGGTGGAACAGGTCAGAAGCAGCATGGGTAGAAACAAAGTGCCAAGCTGCTGTCTGAAGCAGCACAAGGAGGTCTTTTACCCTTTAAGGACCTCCACTCAAATAAGACTGATCCTTTGCTTTATCCCCCCCCCAAAAAAAAAACAAATCTCGGTGTGAGCCGATAATGAACCTGAGCTGGCTATTGTGTTTGCTTCCTTTTGTTTTTTAAGATTTCATTTTGGTACTGGAAAAATACCTGAACAGTTAAGAGCAAGCACAGCAGGTACCTCTTACTGATCAGTTCTCAGCACCCTCATCCAATGGCTCACAAATCTGGCCAGAATCTGGCCTCTGAGAACTGAGAGCACCTGCAACCTGGTTCAGTGCACAAGCTCACACACGGGTGGGCAGTCCTACGCCAAGTCCTCCCAACCACTGAGCCAGCACCTCCCACGGGGCTGTTAACAGCTTTCATCAGCTCTAGCTCTAAGTCTTGTCATCCGCTAGCATCTTCCAATATGGTTACAATATTTTATTTTGTCCTTATTGTTCCTGCTCCATTTGGTAAAATCTAGTCATTTTACCTTGGGACAAAACCTCCCCGCCCCCACCCCTGCTTTTGAAATTTTATTTGGTTTATTTCTTGTTTTAGAGTCAGGGCTTGATGTACTCCAGGTTTACCTCAATGCTATGTAGCCAAGAATGACTTTGAATTTCTGATTCTCCTGCCTCCACTTCCCAAGTGTGATTACAGGAGTGAGGCACCTTTTTTTTTTTTTTTTTTTTTTTTTGAGATAGGGTTTGGCCGGGCGGTGGTGCACGACTTTAATCCCAGCACTTGGGAGGCAGAGGCAGGTAGATTTCTGAGTTTGAGGCTAGCCTGGTCTACAGAGTGAGTTCCAGGACAGCCAGGACTACACAGAGAAACCTTGTCTCGAAAAACCAAAAAAAAGATAGGGTTTGTTTGTCTGTGTAGACAAGGCTGTCCTGTAACTCACTCTGGTCTCCAACTCAGAAATCCGCCTGTCTCTGCTTCCCAAGTGCTGGGATTAAAGGCGTGTGCCACCACTGTCCGGCACCTTGGCAACATTTTATCACATTAGAAATTCTTCCCAATTAAAAAAAAATTTCATATCTACATATGCCATATATTTCATAGCCTTTCTATGCATATAGAGACGAAGTCTTTACTATCAGAAGACAGAGCAATGTAAATAAATATACTAGCTTAATAAAGAAAGCAGTGTACTCATATATATAAAATAAATAAATGTTAAATAAATAAAAGGAACCTGAATCTATTCAAACATTGTCTCTTATTTCTTGTCTGTTGCAGGTCTTAGGCTGGCTGTATTGCATTAGGCAGGGTCTTTAAAAAGGATATTTTGTGAAGGGGGCAGTGGTTGCCCAGGCCTATAATCCCAGTCTTGAGTCTAGGTGTGTTAGAGGCCATCCTGGTCTACAGAGCTAGTTCTAGGACAGCCAAAGCTACACAAAGAACTCTCGGGGTTTTTGTTTGTTTGTTTGTTTTAAAAGGCTTTTGGGTGTACTTTCTAGGTTTCATATGAGTCTGAAAATCTCAGACTGTTACATTCCATCAAGATCAAGGTAACAGAAGTTCTAAATTGAATGACCTTGGAAAAACCAACTTATCTTGCTTAAACAAAGAAGGCAGATGGAGGAGAAAATATAGAGAGCCAAAAAGTTTTACATGTTAATTTTTTTAAAGACTTATTTACTTATTTCATATATATGAATACACTGTAGCTATCTTCAGACACACCAGAAGAGGGCTTCAGATCCCATCACAGATGGTTGTGAGCCACCATGTGGTTGCTGGGAATTGAACTCAGATAGTGCTCTTAACCACCGAGCCATCTCTCCAGCCTACATGTTAACTTTTTTTTTTTTTTTTTATTTTTTTTTTTTTTTTTTTTGGTTTTTCGAGACAGGGTTTCTCTGTGTAGCCCTGGCTGTCCTGGAACTCACTCGGTAGACCAGGCTGGCCTCGAACTCAGGAATCCGCCTGCCTCTGCCTCCCAAGTGCTGGGACTAAAGGCGTGCGCCACCACCGCCCGGCACATGTTAACTTTTTAAATATAATTTTGACTAGTGTACTGGATGGTTTTGTGTGTCAAATTGACAACAAGTTAGAATCATCAGAGAGGATGTTTCGTTTTGTTTTTTGAGAGAGTTTCACTGTACATCCTTGGCTGGCCTGGAACTCACTATGTAGACCAGGCTAGTCTAGAATTCAAAGATCCCCGTTTTTTGCTCTGGCCTCCCAGTGCTGGGATTACAGGATTGGGCCTCTAATGAAGTTCTTGTTTGTGACTCAAACTGCCCCAACCCACAGCAGGGAGCAGTGGCACCTCCCACAGCAAGGGCGTGGTCGCTCGGGCCCGCGCAAATCTGGTCTCCGGCGGTGGCGCTCTCTGATGACGTACAGCCCGCCAAGATTCGTGGGCTTTGGGCGCCGCGTGAACGGCTTTAGGTGAGTGAAACTTGCGCGTGCTTCCCTGAGTTTGCTCGCTGATAAGGTTCCATTGCTCACACATTCAAACCGAATCCAGGCCGCGTCGTTTTCCCCATCAGGCCTGTCTGGGTCCACCCGGATCCACGTGCCTTACGTAGAGCTTCGGTCTGTTGGAGCGCATGTTCTGCAGGCACTTGGTGTAGGTGGACGACCAGACTGAAATAGCCCCCTCACGGTCCCATTCATTCGTCAAAAAATGTGTCGACCACTTGCTTTGAATCAGGCACCATACTAGCCGTTGGGAATACAGCCCCGACATAAAACCTTGTTCCATTATTTCTGAAACTTATATTTCGCTGGGAATGATAGACAAACTTCTTAATAACTGCAGAGGGCTGCAGATGTAGCTCAGGGTCCTGGGTTCGAGCCTTACGACCTCATAAACCAGGTGCTGTGAAGATCATCAAGAATTACAGCACTCGAGAGGTTTTGTGAGTAGAAGGACTAGAAATTCAAGGACATCCTCAGTTATACATCGAGTTAGAGGTCAGCCTGAGCTAAATGAGACCCTGGGTGTTTCTCTGTGTAACTCTGGAACTTCTGTAGACCAGGCTGGCCTTTAACTCAGAGAGATTCACCTGCCTCTGCCCCCTGGGATTAAAGACATTCGTCACCTTTGCTTCTATTTTTTTTTTTTTAAAGGAAGACAGTGTGTATGGGGGTGGGGGGAACTGAGATGTGATGGGAATAAAGGGTACATTCATTTTTTGTTTTGTTTTTCGAGACAGGGTTTGTCTGTATAGCCCTGGCTGTCCTGGAACTCACTCTGTAGACCAGGCTGGCCTCAAACTCAGAAATCCACCTGCCTCTGCCTCCCAAGTGCTGGGATTAAAGGCATGTACCACCACCGCCCGGCTGGGTACATTCATTTAACAACTTGGTTGGTTGGTTGGTTTTGTTTTCTTGAAACAGGGTCTCTTTATACAGCCCTGGTTGCCTTGGAACTATATAAATCCTGAAACTGAGATTCATCTTTCTCCTGGGATTCGGGCCCTATACCACCATACCTTACAGAGGCAAGTGTTTATCCATTAAACCATCTCACTAGTATAGAAGTCATGATCTTTACATTATCTTATGGCAAATAGGATGTAGTTGTACAGTATTGGAATCATACCATTGGTGAATTCAATGCAATTGGGTGTGGTGATGCAGTCCCCTAAGCCCCAACATCAGAAGCAAGAAGACTGATGTCCAGACCAGCCTGGTCTATATGACAACCTAACTTTTTCTCATAAAACAAAGAACAGCAACAAAGAAAACAATACATTGATCAGTCCAAATGAATGATAATGGTGACATTGACTTGCGAGGTAGTAGACCTGAACAAGGCAAAAGATTTAACATTATGTGTGGAAGTAGATTTGTTCTCAGATTGATTATATGGAGAGGCTGAGGGAAAAGAGCAGTTAAGGTTGGCTTTAGTTTTACTTTTCCTGGTGCTGGGGGTTGAGCCTCGGGCCTTGCACGTGCTAGGCAAGTGCTTTATCACTGAATCCTGTGCCTCTGCGTTCAGTTGAGCAGCTGTTTGGATGGAGACGAGTTTCCTGTAACAGAGAAGAGCAGAGGCATAGCAAATCTGCCCGACTGGGGCTGCCAGCAGTACTACAGTTACTGCCTAGCGTCCAGTCCCCTTCCCATGAACTCAGTAAACTGTTCCTCTCGAAAGAAGAAAAGGGGAGGAAGAAAGAGAAGTCTCTTTATAAGTCTAGGCTGGTCTCAAACTCACTGTGTACCTGAGGAACACTGAGCTCAGGATCCTTCTGCCTTCACATTCCCTGTGCTGGGATTGCAGGAATATGTGCCACTTTGCCCAGGTTATATGGTCCTGGGAATCAAACTGGCCCAGGGCCTCTTGACTTCTAGACAAATATTTTGAGTTAAATATTTAGCCCTTGTTGGCTATATTAATGACACCCGTATGTGTAGATGTGATGGTATTTACATATACCAATCTGGAGTTTTAGAGGTTCACTGTTGGGGAAAGTTGTAGAATGTTTTGGCAAATATTAGTTTTAATGCTATCAAATTGGCATTTTAAATTAACAGTTGAATGGTGGCAATTTCATTGGTTGGTTTTACTAGGTAGTCTTTAAAGCACAGGTCTGGATGAAACCACTTAACACAAAGGAAGAGAAATAAGGACAGAACCCTGGGCACCTAACAGTTAGAAGCTGAACAAGAGAATAAGAGTCAGGTCTGGTGACTCCAGATCAGCCAGGGAAAGAGCTTCAGAAGAATATTGGTGTCCTTAAAGCCACGAGAGGAGTGTGAAGAAGTAGAAAATGAATTGAATCACTTGCTGCTGAAAGGACTTGTAAAAACAGTTAAGTAGCCTCTGGATTGGCAGCTGCACAATACTGGTTATGGACAGTGTACTGAAAGAAATTCACGCTGGGCAGTGGTGGCGCACGCCTTTAATCTCAACACTTGGGAGGCAGAGGCAGGGGGATTTCTGAGTTCGAGGCCAGCCTGGTCTACAGAGTGAGTTCTAGGACAGTCAAGGCTACACAGAGAAACCCTGTCTCGAAAAACAAAAACAAAAACAAAAAAATTCAGTTTAGTTACAAAAATTTTTGTCCCCAATCTGTGATCAGGCCCATTACCTTAGTATTTAGCCTGTATCTGAGGTCCCCAAACACACTTGAAGGCAAAGAACAATCTGTAAAAGTTAGCTTTCTTCTTCCATTAAGTGGGTTCTAGGAATCAAACTCAGATAATTAAGTTTGGTGGCAAGTGTCTACCTGCTGAGCCATCCCACTGGCCTGTGAAGTAAAAAAAAAATATATATATATGTGTGTGTGTGTGTGTGTGTGTGTGTGTGTACATATATATATGTATGTGTGTATATACATATATATATATATATATATATATATATATATATACATATACATATACATACATATACATATGTATATATTGTGTAGCCTTGGCTGGTCTGGAGCTCACTGTATTGAGGCTAGTCTTGAATTCACAGAGATCCTCCTGCCTCTCCCTCCCAGAGTGCTGGGATTAAAAGTGTGTGCCAGCATGCCCAGCAGCATTCAGTTTTGAATGAGTCAGGTTTGAGTCATACAAGTGGAAATGTGAAGTAGTAAAATTTCTTTCCCTCCTGCCTCCTCTGGAAGAGGCCATGTACATGTGTGAGCCCATGTGTGGGCAGATAGTTGAATGAATGGTGCAGATTAGAAGCCCTAAGCTCTGAGGGAGCTTTCTAGAAGCGAGGTGTTGTGAGCGCTTGGCAGTGAAAACATCTCAGAGTTGGTGTAATGAGCTCATCTTGAAGAATGGAGAGACACAGAGTTGGTGAGCAAAGGCATGCTCCTGCTGTGAAACAAGGAGTCAGAAATCGGGGCGGATTCTATCAGGCTTTGGATATTTTGAAAGCAGTGAAACCAGGATCTGTTACTCGATGTCACCAGCCAGGTCTAGTCCATCCTCCTCCAGATTTGTGCCTCAGATAATTACTTTGACAAAGTACCATAGACTGTGCAACTCATTAACAACAGGACTTCTCATAATTCTAGAGGTTGGATGTTTGAGGTCAAAGGGCCAGCATGGTTGGTGTCAACATCCAAAGCAACCCAAGCAGTCAGAAGATTCCAGCAGAGCAAGATCTTTATTTGAATTGAGCAGTCAGATAATAGCATAGACTCTGGAGCTGACTATGTCTTTCAACTTTCATCTTAGAAAGTACTTAAGCAGATGACAGAATTTTATTTTACTTGGACACTACTGATGGATCAGGGCCACAGACTCTGGAGCTGATGTGACCCCAAGTCAGAATGGTACAGAGTTTTTGTTTGTTTGGTTGATTGGTTTTTGTTTTTTCGAGACAGGGTTTCTCTGTGTAGCCCTGGCTGTCCTGGAACTCACTCTGTAGACCAGGCTGGTCTTGAACTCAGAAATCCAATTGCCTCTGCCTCCCAAGTGCTGGGATTAAAGGTGTGTGCCACAACTGCCCGGCCTGTACAGAGTTTTTAAGCCTGAAATTCACAAATATCTGTGCCAAGTTATCCCATCAGTCAGGATTTAGGAACATGTCTTTGTGGTACACTTACCCTGTTCTCATTGGTTGGATTATTCAACTGTGGCATGGTGATTTGCCTAGCATTTATCAGTTACCCAGGGAGGTCTTGAGAACTTAAACTTTACTTGACCCCTATTCAAAATGGAAGTTTTATTCAAAATGACTTCAGTTTGGTTCCTTCTTACAGTCATTTTCTTGTAAACACTTTTCAGATTTCACACTGCTGGCTTTGTATCTGTGCATGGTAGAAGAGATCTAACTCACCAGCTTCTTAGGACACTAATCTCATTCGTGAGGGTATCACCCTAACACTCCTAAAGACCCCTGTTCAAACATTGTCATATTGTATTAGGCAGAGGATGAAAAATGTTCAGTTCATGTCAGGTGACATTTATCCTAGGAAGTTCTTCCTATGGGGTTGGTGTTTCTGTCCCTTAGTGTTAGCCACACTAAGCTGAAATTGTATGATTTTTAAAATTTATTTATTTATTTATTTATTTATTTATTTATTTTATGTATATGAGTACACCATTGCTTTCTTCAGACACACTAGAAGTGGGCATTAGATCCCATTACAGATGGTTGTGAGCCACCATGTGGTTGCTGGGAATTGAACTCAGGACCTCTGGAAGAGCAGATGGTGCTCTTCACACTGAGCCATCTCTCCAGCCTGAAATTGTATGATTTATTTGTTCATGGTAGCATTCTTAAGACCTTGCCTGGGCCAAAGAAAGTGCCTATATCCCTCGCTCCCACACTACGAATGCCCGTGTGTGTGTGTGTGTGTGTGTGTGTGTGTGTGTGTGTGTGTGTGTTCATGCCTGGAGGTTTTGCCCAGGACTAAGAACATAGTGTCTGGGCTGTCCATGAAATTTAAAATCAACTAATGTTATTTTTTTTAGAAACCAAATTCATCTCTAGACAGTCTCTGCAGAAATGGCCCCTGTCCTTCACTTTTATGTCCGCCCCTCTGGCCATGAGGGGGCAGCATCTGGGCGTGTTCTCCGGAGACTACAAGAGAAACTGCCGACGCTTCAGAGTGTGGAGACTGAGCTGTGCTACAATGTGCACTGGGCAGGTGAGGACAGAGGCTGGGTTTACATTTTGTTTTGCTTTTTGGTGGGTTGTTTGACTCTGAGTATCATGTAGCTCATACTGGTCTCGAATTCTCTCTGTGACTGAGGATGGCCTTGAACCCCTGATGCTGCCTTCTCTCTGAGTGCTGGGCTGACTAGTGTATCACATCCAGTGTCGGTGTGTTTTTTTTTTATTGTTGTTTGTTTGTTTGTTTGTTTTGTTTTGTTTTTTACTTCCTTATTACATTCTGTTTTTATTTTTAATTGCATGTTTATGTATGGATTTGTATGTGTGAATGTGTGCATGAATGCAAGAATTCAGAAGGCAGCTTTGGATCCCCCGGAGCTGGAGATAGAAGTGTTATTCTGATATGGGTGCTGGGAATTGGTATTGAGTCTTCTGTAAGAGCAGATAGTTATAGTAACCCCTGAGCCATCTCTCTAGCCTCTTGTTTTACTGCTTTCCTGATTTACTTGCGCACCTGCGCATGGGTACTCGAATGTGGGAGTGAGAGGACTCTTCCTTCCACCATGTGATTTCCTGGGGATTGGAACTGGCTGCAGGTACATTGGTTATGTTTGTGTTTTACCTGTATGCGTGTTTGTGCCTGCATATCTGTCCTAAGTATTGGATTCTGATTTTGTTGCTTTGCTTTTAATTGGAGGCAGATCTCTCTGTTGTAGTACTGGCTGCTTGAAATGTAGTACTTGGAGCTTGAAATGTAGACCAAGCTGGCCTAGAACTCAAAGAGATCCCCTTGTCCGTCTTTCCATAGTGCTAAGACTAGGTCTTGGTTTCTTAAAGGAGGTGATCTGGTACATGGGACAATGTCTGGAGGTGCCTGTGTCTTGTCTCTACAGCTGAGACCCTTCCACGGGCTGAGGAGATGAAGAAGTTAATGTGGCTATTTGGCTGCCCTTTGCTGCAGGATGATGTTTCTGAGGAGTCCTGGCTTGTTTCTGGCTCCAATGATTTGTTGCTGGAGGTGGGACCCAGGTATGTGTCAGATGTCTTCCTGGGCAGCTTGTTCCCACGTTCCCAGGCATGTCCCCCTTTCACAGTCACCACCCACCCCTCACCTCCACTCCTTTCCCTCTTAGTCTTTGGCAGTTTTCCTTGTTCCATCCTTCCCTCTGCCTAGGAAATCATACAAATATTTTCTCTGTGTGGGCACATGTCCTGAAAACTGAACTAGCTTCCAAGTCTATTCTAGAAACAACAGCTTACACTCTGAGGACTTGAATCTGCACTGGTTTCTCTCCATTCCCATTTCTTAGGCTAGGGATTGATCATAGGACTTAATGCATGCTGAGTGAGCACTGTCCCACTGCACAGCTTTTCTTTTGAAACATGATGTTGTTAAGTTTCCCATCCTGGGTCTGTGTACCTGAGTGTAGTGCCAATGGAGGCTAGAGGCATCGGATCCCCCTAGAGCTAGAGTTTCAGGCAGGTGTGAGCCTGACATGGGTGCAAGGAACTAAACTTGGAGCTGTCTCTCCAGCCTCTGGTTAATTTTTGAAAGCAGGTGTCCTTGGCACCCAGACTGAGACAGGAGGCCAGTGGTGTATTGGGTAGATAGCAGTGGGCAAGATCCACCTTCCCAACTGGTTCTTGCCAAGGCCCTCAGACCATAACCGTCTGACTCTTTCCTCAGGCTGAATTTCTCTACTCCAGCATCAACCAACATTGTTTCTGTGTGCCAGGCTGCTGGGCTGAGGGCTGTGGATCGAGTAGAGGCCACCCGGCGCTACCGGCTCTCGGTAAGGTGTGGGCATTGTGGTGGGAGATCAAGAGGAGTAAGTGGGCCAGAGATTAGATCCTAAACTCCAGCAGGGTCATGGGAGAAGCAGGGGAAAGCTCTTGGCTTTCGCCCTGTCCTGTATGTTTAAAAGGTTGGGTGGTTTGCTGCTTGAAGGTACCTGGTTGAAGGGAGAATGGGCCAGCCTGACTTCCCAGACTTCTCTGTGCATCCTTTTAGTCTGAACAAAGACTGAAAGGTCTGAGTATGCATAGTTCAGTGGTGGGAATTTACCTAGCATATACAAACCCTGGCCTTGATATCTGCACTAGAATGAAAAAGTAGTGCTATGTAGTAGTGAGGTGAGAAACTTAGAGGTCCACAGTGAGGCCTTTCTCTCTGTTCTTCAACCTTTTCTCTTGTTTTCTTATGGCTGTATCTTCCCACCAGTTTGCCAACCATCCCACAGCTGAAATGGAAGCCATTTCTCTGGCTGCCTTGCACGACCGGATGACAGAGCAGCACTATCCTGACCCCATCCAGAGCTTCTCTCCTCAGAGCAACCCAGCCCCACTCAAGGGCACCATCAACATACTAGCTGAGGGTCGGCCTGCCCTGGAGAAGGCCAACCAGGAGCTAGGTGAGCAGGAGTCCATGGAGGATGAGGGGAAGGAAGGGCCTGACACAGTTCAGTGGGACTACTGAGATGTGGACTATGGTGGCCTGGAGCATGCTGTCAGCTCTTCTGGGATTTGTCTCCTAGGTTTGGCTCTTGACTCCTGGGACCTGGATTTCTACACCAAGCGCTTTCAAGAGCTGCAGCGGAACCCTAGTACAGTAGAGGTCTTTGACTTGGCTCAGTCCAATAGGTGAGGAGGAATACCATTGTCTGCTGCCTCGGCCCTTGCAGTCAGAAGGGAACACCACCAGTGCTTTTCCTGCATCTCCTGAGAGTCTGGCCTCCTTACCCTGCTGGGAGTCTACTGTTAAATCTTGCTTTTACCTCCCTTTGCTTCTGGACAAGCCACGGTGGCAGAATACGTAATGATGACTGTCTCTCTTAAGTATGAATTGGCTGTGATCTGTTGAAAGCTGTTGGGAAGAGCAGCACTGAGAAGTGACCATGTACCTTCCCCTCCCCTTGTCACTCCTGCAGTGAGCACAGCCGACATTGGTTCTTCAAGGGCCAGCTCCATGTGGATGGGAAGAAGCTAGCACGTTCCCTCTTTGAGTCCATCATGAGCACTCAGGCATCCTCCAACCCTAACAATGTCCTCAAGTTCTGTGACAACAGCAGGTTGGCTGTGCCCTGGGCTCAGGGGACCTTGGGGTGGAGACGAGGGAGGTCTTGGACCCTGGTTGGATTGGCATGGTTCTTGGGAAAGAAAGAGGGTGTAGAGTAACTGTGTCCGCAGTGCCATCCAGGGAAAGGAAGTCCGATTCCTGCGGCCTGAGGACTCTACACGACCAAGCTGCTTCCGGCAACAGCGGGGACTTAGACATGTTGTCTTCACAGCAGAGACACATAACTTCCCCACAGGTGAGTTTGGTCCCAGGCCTCGGGGCTGAGCCTAAATTGTTCTTACTTCCATGGAGAGTATTGGGAATGGTTTTATCTCTGTATTATCTCTTTTGCTTTTTCTTTGCAGGAGTGGCCCCCTTCAGCGGTGCAACCACAGGCACAGGCGGCCGCATCAGAGATGTCCAGTGCACAGGCCGTGGGGCCCATGTGGTAGCTGGCACTGCTGGCTATTGCTTTGGAAACCTGCACATCCCAGGTTTTATCTTTTTTCTTTTCTCTCTCTCTCTCTCTCTCTCTCTCTTTTTTTAATTTGTTTATTTCATATATGTGAATACACTGTCACTATCTTCAGACCCACCAGAAGATGGCATTACAGGTGGTTGCTGGGACTTGAACTAAGGACCTCTGGAAGAGCAGGCAGTGCTCTTAACCACTGAGCTATCTCTTCATCCCACCTTCCCTTCCAGATTCTCTGTCCTGACAGGCACCAACACTTACAGCTCTTAGATGTAAAGGCTGGGTATCTTTTCTTGGGAGGGAGAGCTTCAGAGTAATCACCCTGCTGACCATGAACATGAGCAGTATAATAGGGGAAATTGGAGGTTGCCAGACTGGATTTTCTTTAGAAACCATCATTCTTTTAGTAAGAAAACATGAGACTGGGGTATCTTAGGATCAGTGCTTGCCCACCAAATCCAGTTTCTTAGAAAACCTTAAGAGACTAAGGGACAAAATGTTTCCTGAGGAGATAAAACATACACATTTGTTCTCCCCACAACAGACAAAAGTTTGGATACCACCATAGTCAAACATGGTGAACCAATACCAATACCAATGATTTTTATTAGAGTTACTCATAAGGACTATGGGTGAGGGGTTACTGACAGGAACAGAAATGGCTCAGAGACAGCTGCATTGCCAAGGACCACCCTGGGATGGGTGACGTGAGTGACAAAAGCTAGGGATATGAAGCACAGAGAACAGCCTGCAGGCAGCTCAGCAGGCTGCAGCGTCCTTCTGAGTGACTCTGGTCTAAACCTCTTCTAGGCAGCTCTTCTGGTTTCTGCTTCTTCTAGGCAGCTGGTCTGGCCTTAGACTCTTTAGTTCAGCTCAGTTAGTATTCAAGGGACTCTCCATATTTATTGCTTACTCTGCTGGGGAGGAGCCTAGTAGATCTGATCAATTTCAGGGACTTTCTGAAGCTGTTTTCAGTTGTTTATCTTCCTGCTTAAAGAGCATCTCTTAGGGATGGAAGAGGAAACTTACACAATGGACTGGAGAGATGGCTTAGTAATTAAATGTGCAGGGACTTCAGGTTGGTTCCCAGCTCCCTTGTTGGTTTGTACACAGGTCCCTGTGTGACTCTAGCTCTAGGTGGGGATCTAACACATCTACTCTCTGCAGACACTGACATATATCCAAATCATTTTAGAAAATGACAAAAGTCTTTTTTAGCAAAGAAGGGGTGCTGAGCATGGTGGTACACATCTTTAACACAGCACTCAGGAGGCAGAGACAGGTGGATCTCTGAGTTCAAGGGCAGCCTGGTCTATAGAGTTCCAAGACAGCCAAGGCTGCACAGAGAAACCATGTCTTGGAAAACAAGAAACAAAAACCAAGGGGGTCGAAGGATAGCTTAGAAGGTAAAATTATCTACTGCTCATGTAAAGCCCCCAAGTTTGATTCCCAGCACCCTCCCCACACACACATACAAACAACACACAAGTGCCTTTGTGGGGGGCACTTAAGCAGTCTGATTTTAGGCTGAGTGGTAGGAGTTCTTTCTTAGCATGTTCAAGGCTCTGAAGCAAACCACAAGGGTGGCTTCAGTCTTCTCTGAAGATGTGTCCTTTCTTTCTTTTTTTTCTGTGCACTTTCTTTTTGGGATCAAACCCAGTGCCCTGTGCATGCTAGACATGCTGAATTACTGAGCTACCTCTCCAGCTCTTGCCTTCCATTCTTATAATTCCACTGAACCTTATCTTTCCACCTCAGGTTATAGTCTGCCTTGGGAGGATCCAAGCTTCCAGTATCCTGGGAATTTTGCCAAGCCTTTGGAAGTTGCTATTGAGGCCAGTGATGGAGCCTCTGACTATGGCAACAAGTTTGGAGAACCAGTGCTGGCTGGTGAGCCTTAGGGTGTATAAGAATGACTGAGGCTCCTGAGGGGCTTGTGGGTGTGGTGAGACCCAGGGGCTGTGGTGTTAGACACTGTGGGACTTAACCTCTTTCCACTTCCACACCAGGATTTGCCCGTTCTTTGGGTCTCCAGCTTCCAGGTGGTGAGAGGCGTGAGTGGATCAAGCCCATCATGTTCAGTGGAGGCATTGGGTCCATGGAAGCCAAGCATGTAGGCAAAGAGCCCCCAGAGCCAGGTAAGAGCCACCACCCTTCTCTGCATCCAACCAGCGTCCTCTCTAGCATGAGACAGCCACAGGAAGGAAACTGAGGGCATTTATATTTAGTTTATCCATTTGTATTTAGCTTTATGCTCAGGACTTTTATCTGCTGGCTCAATTAAATAGAACAAACATTTATTGAATGCCTACCAGTTGTGTGGTGGGTACTATGTTCAGGGCCGTTATCAAAGTCCCAGGCCAGCTGGATGGCTCAGTGGGTAATGACATTTGACAAACAAGTCTGATGACCTAAGTTCAGTCTCTGAGACTCATGATGGGAGGAGGAAACTGCAACTGACAGTTGTCCTCGGACCTCCACATAGGTGCCATAGTGTGCTGGTGTCTGCATGCTTGAGAATTAAGACCAGTCAGGTGGTGGTGATACACCATCAGAGGCAGCCGGATCTCTGAGTTCAAGGTCAGCCTTGTCTACAGACTGAGTTTTAGGACAGCCAGGGATCTCAGAGAAACCTAGTCTCCAGGGCTACATGGAGAAACCTAGTCTTTAAAAAAAATCATTAAAAAAAAGGAACTAAGAAAAAGAAAAGGTTGGAGAGGTGGCTCAGAGCTTAAGAACACTAATGCTTTTGAAGAGGACCAGGGTTCAATCCAACACCCCATGGTGGGTCACACCCATCTGTAACTCCAGGTCTATGGCATCTGTGGTCAACAGGTACACATGGTGCACATGCGTACTTGTAAGCAAATACTTATATACATACATATATAAAAAACATGATAACTAAGTCTCTAAAGAGAAAATGTCTAGGTCCTGTTGATTGGCTAGGTAACTTCATGGGGTATGGTTCAAGCCCTGAAAGGCTTGGCAGGAGATAAGGCTTAGTTGGTAGGACCAGGACTAACACAAGAAGATCCTTGGGTTTGATTCGAGAACCTCATAAACCGGATATTGTGGCCCTTGACTGTAATCCTGCAGCAGTATTTTCCCTGCCCAATTACATTAAAATATTAGTGTAGCAGGAGACCTGTGATTGGACAGGGAAAAGGGAGGCAGAGGTAAGAGTTGGAGAGACAGAGAGCGGGCTCAGGGAGAGGAAGGAAACAAGATGGAGGATGGACAGGAAGATCCTGGTCCCTCGTGGTTTTAAATAGCCACAGGTAGTTATGATTATCATATAGGATGGAATGATTGGGCTAACTTGTCTTATCTTGGTGGGCAGCTTGTATCATTATCATTTGGCTCTGCAGTTATTGTGCGGGCATCCTGTGAATTGAGTACTTATTGTTATATAAATCTAACTGACTAATTATGAGCTTCAAGAGTTTTGATTTTACTAGGTTACTGGGTATTATGATATCCAGGCGAGGTGGGCGGTCATTGCATGGGGCTGGCGTGGCAGTGACCCTGCCAAGGGAAATTAAATTAGCGAGTCGGGTGGAGACATCTGGAGGGGTGGGGGCAGAGAGCCTGCCGAGATGAGATGAGAACACCTCGTTACAGGGTTTCTAGAATGTGAGACCACTGACCACAGGGGTGTTTTGGCTGAGAAGGAACTAAGTAGTGGCTCCAGAGACAAGCAAACTGGAACTGGGAATACCATAACCAGTCGCTTCGGGGACTAGCTAGAGACAGGTGATGGGACCACTTCAGGGCAGAGAGTTGCTGGCAGTGTCTTGGAAAGCCTGTCAGTCCTTTTTTTTTTTTTTTTTAATTTCCTGCAACATAATCCTAGCACTCTGGAGTTGGAGGGTTAGACATTCAAGGTCATTCTTTGCTTTGTATTGAGTTTGAGGCCAGCCTGTGCTATCTGGGACCCTGTCAGATATACACACATACCTCCAAAGGTGAGGTTAGGGAGGGAAAACTACTTCCTCTGGCTCTATATCCTATGCCTCCAACACACTTGTTGTTGCTCAACTAGTTAGTTTGGTCCTCCCTGTGGTGTTTCCTGCTTATACAGACAGATCCAGGTGTCTGCCTTTTTAAAAAACAAAACAAAATACATACACATCTTTTTTCTTAATATTTTTATTTTTATTTTATTTTTTGAGATTTTAATAGAATTACATCATTTTTCCCTTCCTTCGAAACCCTCTGATATATCCTTCTTGGCTTTCTTTGAAATTTGTGTCCTCTTTATCATTAATTGGTGTTAAATATATCTATGCACATATATTCATATTTATAGAAAAATATGGAATGCTCCACAAATTCACATGTCATTCTTATGCAGGGAACATGCTAATCTTTTTTGTATTTTTCCCATTTTAGAATATGTGCTACTAAATTGAGCACCTTTCTTTCTTCCTCCTTCCCTCTCTCTTTCTCTTTCTTTCTTTCTTTCTTTCTTTCTTTCTTTCTTTCTTTCTTTCTTTCTTTCTTTCTTTCTTTCTTTCTTTCTTTCTTTCTTTCTTGAGATAGGATCTCACTATGTAGCCTTAGTTGTAACTCCAAGAATTCTCTATGCAGATCAGGCTGGCCTAGAACTCACAGGCATCATACCTGTCTCTGCCTCCGTAGCGTTGGGATTAAAGATATATGCCACATCTGACTCTGTGTGTGTCTGTGTGTCTGTTTGTGTCTTACTTTAAAAATATGTGTGTATGTTTGTATGTATGCCATGTGCTCCTGGGTGCTCATGGGAGCTAGAAGAGGCCATCCTGGAGCTAGAGTTACAGATGGTTATGAGCTGCCTAACATAAATTAACCAAATTCAGATCCTTGGGAAGAATATTATGTGATAAGCCATCTGCATTTGTGGGCATGTATCTAGGGCATGTGGAAGGCCTTGGGGTCAGTGTCCAGCCGCACACACCAAGTCAGTTGACTATAGATATGTGGGTTCGTTCCCCAACGAACAGTTATCTATTCAATTGATTTCTATCTTCTCTTAATGTTAGTACTACACTATATTTATTACTGAAGCAATGTAGTAAGTTCTAGAAGCAGAAAGAGCTGAGAATGTGGCTCAGTGGTAGAGTTAAGAGTGTGTATTGCTTTTGCAGGGGACCCAAGTTTGCTTCCTTGCACCCATGTCAGGAGGCTTATGACTGCCTGCAAATCCAGCTCCAGGCTTCTGACATCTGGCTTCTATAGGCTCCTGTATTCACATGCACGGACACACACATTAATGTACAAGTAAAGATAAATCCTTTATTTGATAGTTAAAAGAGATTGTTTTGATTGGTTTAAACTATCTATACTTATATTCATATTTATGTTGAATCTACAGATAAGATATGGGGAATATGCCATCCTAACAGTAATGCCTTGCAATCTATCTGTAAAGGCCTTGTATTATTTCTTATATTTGCTAAAACAGCTAATTCAGTGTTTACTATTGTACATATATGGTTTTTTACATGTGAATAAAACTGTAAGGTGAATTTCTCAACATATATTTTCCCCATTAGAGAATAGATGTGTTGGTAATTTTTAAAAACTAGTTATTTATTTTCACTTTATGTGTATGACTTTTGTTGCATGTGGGCACTATATGAGTGTACAGTCCCCTCAAAGGCCAGAAGAGGGCATCATATCCTCTGGAACTGGAGTTGGAAGCAGTTGTGTGTTGCCCTTCTGTAGGTGCTGAGAACTGAATCCAGGTCTTCTGAAAGAGCAGCCAGTGTTCTTAAGCACTGAGCCCTCTCTTCAACCCTGTGGCACTATAATTTTTATTATTGTCCCAGTGTCTTCCTCAAGTGTGTGGTTGCTCTCCCTTCTGCTCAGTGGACTGTGACAGTGCTGTCCCTCGTATCTGCCTCTTCTGCATTCCTGTTGCCTTGCTTTCACAGCCTTCTGTGTAGCTTCTGGTTCTGGTTCAACCTTCCTTCCTTGCAGGCATGGAGGTTGTAAAGGTTGGGGGTCCTGTCTATAGGATTGGAGTTGGGGGTGGAGCTGCTTCGTCTGTGCAGGTGAGTGAGAATAGTTAAGGAAGCCAACTTTCCTATCACTGGGCCCTCATGGGTGCTAGTGTAGGAGCTCTCAGGACTCCCTGAGATGAGCCGTGCCCTGTGCTTCCTCAGGTTCAGGGAGACAACACCAGTGACCTGGACTTTGGAGCTGTGCAACGGGGAGACCCAGAAATGGAGCAGAAGATGAATCGTGTGATCCGGGCTTGTGTGGAGGCCCCAGAAGGAAACCCCATTTGCAGCCTTCATGACCAGGGTGCTGGTGGCAACGGTGAGGGAAGTGGTCAGGACAAGGGACTCGGTCTACTTGGTCTGCTACAGATTTGCTTTAGAGAGAAGCACTAAGGATGTGCAGCCAACCACCAGGCTGTGCTGCACCTTCTTCCTGCTGGACAGCCTAGGGTAGAGGGGTACAGGGGTAGACACTGCTGCTGTTGCTGCTGCTGCAGGAGGCTAGATAGTGAGTGTGAAGCAGCAGCTCTGCCAGGGACTCCCAGGATTTCAGCTACTCTTCTGGAGACCAGAAACTCGCTTTGTTTTCCTGGGACTAACCATGACTAGGTTGCCACCTCTCCCTGCCATTCTCTCAACAGGCAATGTCCTAAAGGAGCTGAGTGACCCAGCAGGAGCTGTCATTTATACCAGCCGCTTCCAGGTACATAGGTTTCATCCCTAAAGCCAGGCTGTCCTCTCTCCCCAACAACACTGTGAAGCAAAGCAGTGCTCACTGACCCTTCCTTTTCTTCCCTCATGTCCGTGCAGCTGGGTGACCCAACTTTGAATGCACTGGAAATCTGGGGGGCTGAGTACCAGGAGTCAAATGCACTTCTGCTGAGGCCCTCTGACCGGGACTTCCTGAGTCGTGTCAGTGCCCGGGAGCGCTGCCCAGCTTGTTTTGTGGGGACAATCACTGGAGACAAGAGAGTGAGTTGTCACCGACGATCCAGAGTGGATGCTCTAGGCAGGCTTGGGCTGCCTGGGTGCGTGGGCTTGGGGGAGAAGTGTTGAAGGAGCAAAATGAGATCCAGCGAAGAGTGTGCCTAAGAGGAGCTGGGGACGGAGCTAGGGTTGGGAAAGAGGAGGAGCTCCCCAAGGAAGCCAGGCAGGGCAGGGTGGGGACATTTTTTCCTGCTCTCTGGGCACATTCCCTGCCAGTGTCGAAGGTCTCATTTTCTTTGGGGGCTGTCCTTGGGGTCCACAGATCGTGCTAGTGGATGATCGGGAATGCCTGGTAGGAAAAAGTGGCCAGGGAGATGCCCCCCTGACACCACCAACCCCTGTGGACCTGGACCTTGACTGGGTTCTGGGAAAGATGCCTCAGAAGGTATGTGAGCCAGGCAGGGGAGTGTATTTTACAGTGGCCTTTTTGCCATACTGATGTCCCCTTGCCTTTGTTTGCCACCAGTGTGCCCTGCTCTTCCCAGGTGCTTACATTTGGCCTCCTCCATTTCAGGAGTTCATCCTCCAAAGAAAACCCCCCATGCTGCAGCCTTTGGCTTTGCCCCCAGAGCTGAGTGTGCGGCAAGCTCTGGACCGGGTCCTCAGGCTGCCTGCTGTGGCCAGCAAACGCTACCTCACTAACAAGGTCCTCCTTGTACCCCACTTGGCTGCTTTAGCCTTCTTCATTTTTTCCTGTCATTCATCCTGGCTCTCTCCCCCACTGGGGTTTCCTAGGCTCTGGGAATGAAGGGATGGGGGCAGAGCACCCTTAACGGCCTACTGTCCCTGCTACCCACCTTGATATGTTCTCACTTTCAGTTCAGGGGCTACCCCACCCTTCTGTTGACCCTTGCCTTCTTCTCGGTTGCCAATTGCATCTGTGTTCCATAGGTGGATCGCTCTGTGGGTGGCCTTGTTGCTCAACAGCAGTGTGTTGGGCCTCTGCAGACTCCTCTGGCTGACGTGGCTGTCGTGGCACTGAGCCACCAGGAGCTAATAGGGGCCGCCACAGCCCTGGGAGAGCAGCCAGTCAAGAGCCTGCTGGACCCCAAGGTTGCTGCCAGACTAGCTGTGTCTGAGGCCCTCACCAACCTGGTGTTTGCTCTGGTCACCGATCTCCGAGTGAGTCCCCCGTGGCTTTGTCCTGCAGTTCTGGGCCTCTGTGTCCATCAGTCACTCTCCCTCTTTCCCACTGTTTTTTGCACATAAACTCCCAGGCCTTCTGCATCACTCTGCCTCTCCAATGCCGTGTCTGTGTCCCCACTGTTCCTAGGATGTAAAGTGCAGTGGGAACTGGATGTGGGCAGCCAAGCTCCCAGGTGAGGGTGCAGCGCTGGCCGATGCCTGTGAGGCTATGGTGACAGTGATGGCAGCACTGGGTGTGGCAGTAGATGGTGGCAAGGACTCCCTCAGCATGGCTGCCCGGGTCGGCACTGAGACCGTGCAGGCTCCTGGTAAGGATGAGGCCCTTGTGAGAGGGAAGAAGGACCTGTGGGCCTGGGCTGGTGCCTCACATGCTCTCATTTCTCTTTGCTCTGTAGGATCACTGGTCATTTCAGCATATGCTGTCTGTCCAGACATCACAGCCACTGTGACCCCAGACCTCAAACATCCTGGAGGGAAAGGTATAGCTCCATCCCCCTTGTTTTTGTATATCTGTTCTGAGTTTATTCCTTGCTTTGAGGTTGACTTTATGAGTTCTGGTCCCCCTCATCTCAGCCCTGAGCTGTGCTGCTTTCTAGGACTGGCAGTTGGGATGTCTTACTGTGTACTGTGAATGTGGAGCTAGAAACACTTTAAGGCAGGGTCTTGAGCTGCTGTCCCCTTCTTTGCTTCCTTAGGTCATTTACTCTATGTGCCTTTGAGCCCCGGGCAGCACCGGCTGGGAGGAACGGCTCTGGCCCAGTGTTTCTCTCAGCTCGGGGAGCACCCTCCTGATCTAGACCTTCCTGAGAACCTTGTGCGTGCCTTTCATATCACCCAGGGGCTGCTGAAAGGTGAGTGAGGCCCTGGTACATAGGTGCAGTTGTGGGGGGGGGGGGGGCAGTTGCCTCCTGAACAAGTGAGTGTGAGGTGCCTACAGGTCAGATTCTCTGTGAGTGCCTGCCTTGTCACACTCAGTGGCTTTCTAGATGCTGTGGAGCGACAGGCTTGGCCTGAGATGACTGAACTTTTCTTTGTTCCTCCAGACCGCCGTCTTTCCTCAGGCCATGATGTCAGTGATGGGGGGCTTGTCACCTGCCTTCTAGAGATGGCCTTTGCTGGGAACTGTGGGATAGAGGTAGATGTACCTGCCCCTGGGATCCATGGTGAGTTGCCTGGGTCTAGCCTAAGGCCTGGGCTGCTTCCTTTCCTTTCCTTGTAGACCTTGTGGTGTAAAGAATGCTGTATCTCTGACCCTATCTCCTGAATCCCAGCTGAATCCTCCATTGCCATCTTCATGTTCTGAACTGTGGCCCTCTAAGATCTCTCATAGTGTCTGGTACAGCTTCCGTGAGCTCCTCCAGATTCTGTCTCAGCTGAGTCCTGGCCCCATCCCAGTCATGCTGACTCACCCCCATCTCTTTCCTAGCATTGCCTGTGCTGTTTGCGGAGGAGCCGGGTCTGCTGTTGGAGGTACAGGAGGCAGATGTAGCTGGAGTACTGCAGAGGTACCAGAGTGCTGGCCTACACTGTCTGGAACTGGGCCACACAGGCGAGGCTGGACCCCAGGCCATGGTGAGGTAGCCAGGGAGAGTGTAGTGTTACTGTGAGCCTGTCAGCAAATACCACTCTGAAACCACCATGGGGCCACACTTTTCTCCTTTCTGCAGGTCCGAGTGTCAGTGAATGGGACTGTGGTTGTAGAGGAGCCTGTTGGGCAGTTGAGAGCCCTCTGGGAGGAAACAAGTTTCCAGCTGGACCTACTGCAGGCAGAGCCACGCTGTGTGACAGAGGAGAAACAGGGCTTGAAGGAGCGGACAGGACCCAGCTACTGCCTGCCGCCCACCTTTCCTGTGGCCTCTGTGCCCTGTAAACCTGGTAAGGAAGTGTGCACAGAGGCTTGGGTGCTTGGATCTGCTCTGGGGACGGTATCTGGGGTTTTAGAGTGGATAGGTAGCATTCTGCTCAAAGACACATCTCCCAGGTGGTCCCATCCCTCGAGTTGCCATCTTGCGAGAAGAGGGCAGCAATGGAGACCGAGAAATGGCTGATGCCTTTCACTTGGCTGGCTTTGAGGTAAGCCCGGTGCCTTACAGAGCTGGAGACCTTGATGTTGTCATGGCTGTCCTCTAACAGTGTCCTCCCTGTTGTGTTAGGTGTGGGATGTGACCATGCAGGATCTCTGCTCTGGGGCTATCAGGCTGGACACGTTCCGTGGTGTGGCCTTCGTGGGTGGCTTCAGCTACGCGGACGTCTTGGGCTCTGCAAAAGGTCAGTGTGCGGACTACTGCGTCTGCCATTCCTACATTCCCTGGTAAAACATCCTTGGCTGCTTCTGCCCAGGCTGTGGCCAACTTGTTGCCCCCACAAAGTCAGGCAGAGTGCTCTGGTTCAGGACCAGATGTGGTTCAGGCCAGCAGGAGGATGTCTGACTTTCCAGAGCTGTACAAGCCTAGAGGGCTTGTCTCATCTGAACAGTTGGCTGCTCTTCTACTTGATCAGACTGTCGTGTTCTGTGGAAAGATGGTTCAGCACAACTAGATCAAGAGAGGGCAAAAGGTCAGGCTTTTTGTGTGTGAAATCTTTGCCTTCTTTGCCCAGGCTGCTCAAACTCACAAAGTAGCCTTGGAAGCCATCTTACCATAGCTGTTCAAGTATGGGATTTACAGGTGTGAAATCTTACTGTTGAATCTTAGACAACTACATAGCATTTGAAAAAAAAAAAAAATTGGCTTAGCATAAAGAAATTCATGGATTCCCTTGTCAAGTTATCTGGTTGAAGCAGACCAGGCTGTTTCTTCCCTCAAGTTTGTCCCGGGGTCTGAAGAAAAGACCTGATTCTAGACTAGAGGGATGTTACTTCCCTTCACTCCCTGCTTCTGCTTTAATCAGGCCTTTTACATCTCACTCTGACTTACCTGTTCTTCCTAGGTTGGGCAGCTGCAGTGACCTTCAATCTACAGGCCAGGGAAGAGCTGGGACGCTTCCGCAGGCGGCCAGATACCTTTAGCCTGGGCGTGTGTAATGGCTGTCAGCTGCTGGCTCTTTTGGGCTGGGTGGGAAGTGATCCCAATGAAGAACAAGTTGAGCCAGGTCACAACTCCCCGCCAACACAGCCAGGCCTCCTGCTCCGCCACAATCTGTCTGGGCGGTTTGAGTCCCGATGGGCCACCGTACGTGTGGAGCCAGGGCCGGCCCTGATGCTTCGAGGGATGGAAGGCTCTGTGCTGCCTGTGTGGAGTGCTCATGGGGAAGGTCAGGCTGAGGAAGGCAGGGAAGGGTTTGCAGGCTGGGGATGGCCCTGAAGGAACTTGGCCTCCACTCTTTTCTCCTTCACTTCCAGGTTACATGGCGTTTTCTTCTCCTGAACTCCAAGCCAAGATTGAGGCCAAGGGCTTGGTTCCTCTGCACTGGGCAGACGATGATGGGAACCCCACAGAGCAGTACCCTTTGAACCCCAATGGATCTCCAAGGGGCATAGCTGGCATCTGCTCCCAAGACGGTCGCCATCTGGCACTCATGCCACACCCTGAGCGAGCTGTGAGGCTTTGGCAGTGGGCATGGCGACCCTCTCCCTTTGATGGTCTTTCCACGTCCCCGTGGCTACAGCTCTTCATCAATGCTCGGAACTGGACCCAGGAGGATAGCTGCTGAGGAAGCCGCATGACAGCCCTGGCCCACAGCTCACCCTTTGAGTCTGTTGCCTTCTTTCCCCACTGCCTTCAGGGGTATCCCCATGTGATTTCCAAAAGCATCTTAGGCAGCAAGAACCAAAATGCTGAGATGGCCTCAGCTGCACTGCTCATTTTAGCCTTGCCCCTGCAGGAGCCGCTTTCAGTTCTTGAGTTTAACATGGATCTCCAGCAAGTAACCTCAGGCTCCAAGGACAGCTGCTGACAGTGCAGGGCATGGGCAAAGACTTACTGGCAGTCCTTCCTGGGATCATCACCTTGTTATCCCTCAGTCTTTTTTTTTTTTTCTTCTTCTTCGACACAGGGTTTCTCTGTGTAGCTGTGTAGCCCTGGCTGTCCTGGAACTCAGAAATCCGCCTGCCTCTGGCTCACAAGTGCTGGGATTAAAGGTGTGTGCCACCACTGCCCGGTGTTATCCCTCATTCTTTTGGTTAGAGCTCTGAGTGAGCTGTCACGTCCCCTTTTCTTTGGCTCTGTAAGATGGGCTTTCAGTCTATAGCCCAGGCTGTCCCTAAACTCAGAATTCTTTAGTGTCAGACTCTCTGGTGAGTGCCACAATGCTTGGCATTGGCTCAGGGCCTAAGAATCATGTGCATCATCTCCTCCCAGCCTCCGCTCTCATCTGAAAAGAACAGCTTTCTGGTTCCCTTTCAGACATGCTCTGCTAGTTGTTAGGAATCATTGCTTCCGGCCATGCTTAAGGGGCTGACCTGTGCCAACTCAGATTACATTCCTGATTTCTTTTTTTTTTTTTTTTTTTTTTTTTTTGGATTTTCGAGACAGGGTTTCTCTGTATAGCCCTGGCTGTCCTGGAACTCACTCTGTAGACCAGGCTGGCCTCAAACTCAGAAATCCGCCTGCCTCTGCCTCCCAAGTGCTGGGATTAAAGGCGTGCGCCACCACCGCCCGGCTCCTGATTTCTTTTTTAAAAATATTTTTTTTAATATATTTTTAAAAAATTTTTATTTAATATGAGTACTAGGCTGCATATACATCAGCAGTCCAGAAGAGGGCGCCAGATGAGCCATCTCTTCAGCACCCCACCCCCACCCCCCAAAAAAAAAGAGAATGGCAGATTTTTTTTTTTTTAACATGTATTTCTTTGATTTCTATAGGTACACTGTCACTGTGCTCAGATACACCAGAAGGGAACCAAATCCCATTACAGATGGCTGTGAGCTACCATGTGGTTGCTGGGACCTTTGGAAGTGCAGTCGGTGTTCTTAACCACTGAGCCGTCTGTCCAGCCACACTCCTGATTCTTGCTTCTCCTAATTTAGCGGCCACCTTAAAGTAGTTGACACCTGCCTTCCTAGAGCAGAGCCCTGAGCTATTGGAGTTTGTTTTTTGTTGTTTTGACTTTTCAAGATGGGGTTTTTCTCTGTTTAGCCCTGGCTGTCCTGGAACTTACTCTGTAGACTGGGCTGGCCTCCTACTCAGAGATCCATCTGAGTGGTGGGGTTAAAGGCATATGCTACTACTGCCTGGCCGTTCAGTTTTCTTCTTGTTCCTTGATCAGTAATGGTGCCAGGCACTGCTCTAATGGAATCCTACAGTCTTAATAGAATTGAAATAATAGCTCCTTAGCTTGTACCACCAAGCTAAATAGGTACTGGGTAATTTATGTGTCTAACATAAAGATTAAGGTATTTGAGAGGCGTTTTCCAGTTAACAAAAGAAAGTTTAATGATAAGCTGTCTATGATTGGTTACAACTTGAAAAGGACAGCAAAGCCGGGCCGTGGTGGCGCACGCCTTTAATCCCAGCACTTGGGAGGCAGAGGCAGGCGGATTTCTGAGTTCGAGGCCAGCCTGGACTACCCTGTGAGTTCCAGGACAGCCAGGACTACACAGAGAAACCCTGTCTCGAAAAACCAAAAAAAAAAAAAAAAGAAAAGGACAGCAAAGTGCTCTACCCACTGAGCTACATCTGCTTTTGATGATCCTGCAGTCACAGATCACATGTCTTGGTTGTAGCTGTTTTTGCTGACAGCCATCTCCCATTATCCCTTGCTTCCTACTTGTATGGTAGACTCAGGTAGCCCCCTAAGAAGCTCTATGTCATGATTAAAGGAGTTTCCTTATTAAAAACACTTACATGTTGGATCTCTAAATATTTCAGGGTTTGAGGGAATGCAGAACACTTGTGCTTCTGCAGAAGTAGCGCCCCCAAAAGGCATCAATGGTGAATAGGTGTTAAGTTGCAAGTTGTATGTTCATCTGGGTGGTAGAACGCTTGCCTGGTATTTGTATGTTTCTTGAGTTTGATCTCCCTCCAGCACCACAGAAGGAAGACATTTGGAGATGGGAAGTCAGATCTTCCTTATTACATTGCAAAGAAACTTCCTAAGTAGAATGAGTCTAAGGATTTTGTTTGTATTTTCAAGACCCATATGTTTTCCTGGCTGGCTTTGAACTCATGTAGCTGAGAGTAATCTTGAAATCATGGTCTTCTACCAAATGCTGATTTCCGACCTAAGCAGCATTTTGGACATGTGAACATTCCCTTTGATGCTGTAGAATATATATTTTGCTTATGGTGGTGCATGCTTTTAATCCCAACACACAGGAGGCAGAGGCAGGTGGATCTTTGTAAGCTGAAGGCTAGCCTGATCTCCATAGTGAGTTCTAGGCTAGTTAGGGCACTGTCTCAAATTTATATGTTTATAATGTAAATATTTATGAAGATGGTGTTTTAAACCTGAGTGGGCAAGATGGCTTAGTGCAGAGGTTTTCAAGCTTTCCAATGCTGTAACCCTTTAATACAGTTCCTCATATTATTGTGGCCCAAACCATAAAATTTTGGTTCCTATTTTATAACTGTGTTTTTGCTGCTGTTAAAAATCATAATGTAGGGGGCTGGAGAGATGGCTCAGCGGTTAAGAGCACAGACTGCTCTTCCAGAGGTCCTGAGTTCAAATCCCAGCAACCACATGGTGGCTCACAACCATCCGTAATGAGATTGGATGCCCTCTTCTGGTGTGTCTGAAGACAGCTACAATGTACTCATCAATAAAATAAATAAATAAATATTTAAAAAAAAAAAAAAAAAAAAAAAAAATCATAATGTAAATGTCTGTTTTCTGATGGCCTTAGGCCCCAAGAGGGTCATGACCCTCAGGTGAGAACTGCTGGCTTAGTGGGTATAGGTATTTGCCATCAAGCCTAATGGCTTGAGTCCAATCCCTGAAACTCACATGGTAAAAGGGAAGAACCAGCTCTCCCCAAGTTGTCTGATGGCTTACATCTGAGTGCCATGGCACATGTGCACAAGCACACATATCAACACATATGTAGCCAGGTGTGGTACACCCTTTTAATCACAACCAATCAGTGATACTTTAATCTTTGTTAATGGAAAACTTCAAATTAATGGAAAAAGGTCCATTGTGGTAAAAGATGTGAAGTGGGCCAGTGGAAGCGTGCTGTGCATGCAAGGGCTGATGAGCCGTTCTCCGTCCTGTGTTCTTTTAGACTTATTTTGTGTTTTTATGTGTGTATGGTTTGCCTGTATTTGTGCGTGCCTGGGTATCAGAAGAGGGCTTCATATGCCCTGGATCTGGAGTTACCAGTGGTCACAAACTTCCATGTGGATACTAGAAATTGAAACCAGGTCTTCTGCAAGAACAAGTGCTCTCAACTGAGCCATCTCTCCAGATTCACACCTGAACCTTTACAATAGCATCTAAACCTCTTAAAGAAGTCCTGTGCTAGGTTTCATCTCCTTAACAGATTTCTAAACAAATCCTCGGTTCCACACAAGGCTATCACAGCAGCACAGACACCTCAGCCCAAGACACCACTGCGATCCCACCTTAAACAGTGCTTTCGTCAAAGATTTGTCTCCCAAGCACAGTGTAGACTCCGTGATCAGGAAGTCTGTCCTAACAGTGTCTGGCACCTACCAGGTGACCAGTAAGTCATTATGTTGAATAAATGAGTGGATATAAAAGCTGAAAAACTGGCATCGACTTTAAAAGGTTTTAAGTTACATTTATTTATGGTGGCAGGGTGAGATAGGAGAGGCGCGACTGCCTTACAGCTCAAGTGAATGTCAAAACAAGTTACAGAAGTTGGCTCAGAGGCAAGTGCTTTTGCCACTGAGCAGTCCCAGATCTAGTTTTCCCAGATGGCTTCTCTGTGTCTCCCTGGCTCTCCTGTACTTGCTCTGTAGATAAAAGGTATGTGCCACCAACATTCAGCTAGCATAATTTTTTTGTTGTTTTGTTTTTAAATATTTGTCTTTGGGGCTGGAGAGATAGCTCAGTGGTTAAGAGCACTGGCTGCTCTTGCAGAGGATCTGGGTTCAATTCCCAGTAATTCCCAGCACCCACATGGCAGCTCACACTGTCTATTCCAGAGGATCTGACACCTTCAGACATGTAAGCAAAACACCAATACACATAAAAGTAAATAAACAAAAAGGTGGTAATGTAAAATAAACCATGTAATTAGTTCTTTTAAGATTTATTTACTTATGTAAATGAGTGCTCTGTCTATATATACATCTGCATGCCAGAAGAGGACATCAGATCTTAGTGATGGCTGTGAGCCACCATGTGGTTGCTGGGAATTGAACTCAGGACCTCTGGAAGAGCAGACAGTGCTCTTAATCACTGAGCCATCTCTCCAGACACTCGTGGCTATTTCCCCCCCCTCCTTTTTAAGGATTTTTTTTTTCCTTAATAGAAAGTGGTTCCCGTGGATTTATAGGTAGATTGGCTCTGCACTTCCCCTTTCTGCCTCCTTTGTTGGTTTGTCCAGTCATTCTGTGTCATCAGGCCAGTGAAGGACACTAATTTGACATTAGTTTCTCTTTCTTGTCCTTTCTCCCTTTGTATCTCTCCTCCCGTTCTCTACCTTGTCTCTCTTCGGTTTTATAGGAGAATAGATACGTCACAGAATTAGGCACATGACTGTCACTTTTGGTCTGTGCCCAGGTGCAGGCAGCCAGCAGGAGGCTTGTGGACAACAGCTCCAAGTGGGGACTACCAGGTGAAAGCTGCTTTCTCCAGGAATGCCTCAACAGGGTACCCTCTGCTCTCTAGTATCGTTCTATACTTCCCTACTTCCCCACTGGGATATCTCTCTCTCTCTCTCTCTCTCTCTCTCTCTCTCTCTCTCTCTCTCTCACACACACACACACACACACACACACACACACACACACACACCCCAAGGGACTGTACTCAGAAAAGGATGTGGATTCTAGGCCAGCAGTGAGCCTGTGGACCAAGATGACACCTCCAGGATCTGTCTATGCCTGAGTCTAGTCTATGGATAGACACTTGGGGGCAGCAAACAGCTAGAAGAGAAGCTAAGGAATTGCTGGATAGGCCTGGGCATTTCTAGGGCTTAGTCCAGATAAGCTAATCATTAGAATTGCCTTTGGCACAGGGTCACCCAGCACAAACAGACATGAGTGACAACATCTGTCTGTTTGGCTTCATGAGCAGGAAGGGTGGGGCAGAGGGCTGTCTGTGAAACTGGAGCCTGTCCACCAGGTAAGGGTTATAAAGAAACAGCATTGTGGCACAGTGGAGGGACGCCAACTTGGAATAAGTGATTTCTTTCTTTTACTTTGAGAAGACTCAACAGCATAGGGTTCTGGAGGCAAGCACACAACAGTTTGCCTGCATAAAGGGCAGAGGAAGTGTGGCACCCACCACTGTAGGAGAACAATATTTGCAGAGCCTCAGAGGCTGGAGAAGGGTATGCTAACTAAGAAACTGA